CCCACTCTATAGAATTCTTTTCAATTAAGAGCATTTTTTTATAGGGTCTTCTATTTGCTTAAGCGTAAATCGAGTTTAACTCAAATTGGCTCGAATAAAGCAGCAACAAAAATACGAAATGGGGGGAAAACGTATAAATGAAAACTAAATATTTGCTCTGCCCTTTGTTATTACTGCCAGCCAACTGACGAGGCGAAAACAAAAACAAAGAGTGAAATGAGAAAAGGTTCGCCGCACATTTTAAAAGATTGTTGTGGGGCAGGCCATAAAAATCAAAAGCAACAACAACACAACAGCAACAGAGTCGTTTATCTACGAGCGCCGAGCATCTAAATAAGTAAGTCAATAAATCAATTCAACAAATTTCTACTGCCTTTTTTTATATTAGAACCTATTTTGTTGCAGTCTGCGAATCCCAAACAAACAAATATATAGCTTTACAATATCTTAAATGTATTTATATAGTACATACCCAATGTATATAGCAAGATATACATACATACATATATATATATATATATATATATATATATATATATATATATATATATATATATATATATATATATATATATATATATATATATATATATATATATATATATATATATATATATAGTATACTTGTCAGCAAATGTCTTGCCGCAACAAAGAAAGCAATGTAAAGTATATCACCAGTAGTGGGCACGGCGACTAAATGAGCCTAGAAAATACATAAACAATGATAACTCTAAAGTTTATCAATTTGCAAAATTACTGACAAGCAAACACACACATACATTTATACATCGATATACATACATACGTACGACAGGCAGCAGGAGAGGAGCCATGCATAGCCATGATGAGTCTCATATAACAGTTCAATGTAGCACCCTCAGTTAACAGTCTGTTATTAGCAGAGTGTTAATAAATAGATAGCAGCGCATGGTTGATGAACGTGCTAGGGCTATACAAAAAAAGCTTTTGTCAATAAAAGCGTTAATTGAAAAGCAAAAAACTGAGATACAAATATTATTTTTAATATAGGATAAAAAAGTATTTCTTAAAGCTATATTAAAGTAAGTATTTTGAAAAACAAAGCGGTGACGCCTGTATCTAAACAAACACTGCCGCTGGTATAAAATAGATCATTCAGATAGAAAATTCAAAAAGAGATAAAAACATAATTGTAATTATACAAGCAGAAATTTTTTATATTTAATGTTTTTTTTTTTTTTTTTGAACAGATGTGAATAGTTTTAGGAATGAACAAGGTGCATCCCCCCTATAAACAGAACTTTAGGAACAAAGAATTGATATACTATATATGTTGGCATAATTAGTTCAGTACAACGATTATACTTGTATTTTAGGACGGTTCTTTAGAATGATGGTACCAGCATTTGCAATGGCTTCAACTGAAAATGAAATGAAATGTACCGAAAAAGAAAATATGGTCACACGGATCTAAATGCTGCAAATATTGTTTTTAAAAAAATCTGTTACAGATGTAGGTTGATGAGACGAAACATTATGGTGCAACAAGTGACAACTTATTTATTGGTGCACTAAACGTTTTAAAACCCTTCGAATCGTAGAAACAAAACAACATTGTCTTCACTTTTAACAGAAACAAAATTTATTAGCTGTTTGTACATGGCTGCTTTAGTTTTCGATTTTTAGGTTCTCACTTACACCAAAATATTTAATCAGAATCAGCACTACATCCATTTTTTCCAACTGAAATTCCTCTCAAACTTGTATAAAGAGTTACTCTACTTAGCAAATAATTTCATAAGCAATCAATGCCTCACAACATGTACTTCCTGTGAATAAGTAAAACATTTTTAGTTTGTTGTCTCTGCCAAATGCCTTTCTTAACCTAAACGTATCAGATAAGCATAAATCAGCTGCAATGTTTAGACAACAATAAGTTGGCCAAACCAAACAATTGACTACGTATGCAGAAGTTCGGGTAATGAATGAAATGTTTTCCACTACACATGTCAATAATAATACTTATGTATAGCCTCCAGCCCCCACAACACCGCCAACGTTTTGTGATTGTTTATAAGCAGATTTAGCGGTTAATGGCCGAAAGGAAACAAATTTAAAAGCAATGCAGAGGCGTAAAAAACATTGCTATTGATATACTAAACAGAAACAAAAAAACCGCAACAACTTGAGCATTGTGTGTTAATATATATATCCCATGCTACGAATATTTGCTTTGTTTGCGTTACTCGTGCGCTTTTAAAAATACATTGAAACTGAAATATAAATACAAATTGAAATTGAAATGCAAACATGCCGCAAAGAATGAATGTACAAGTGTCAACGATGATATGCGGCCGCAACATGACTTGGGCACGAGAGTTTAGAAATATTCGAAATTAACAAATGCCAAAATGCCAACATTTCACACCATTTTAGCATACATCCATATAGCCATGTACTCGTAGCATGTTGGTGTGTAAACAAGACAAACTAAAACAAATGAAATGAGTTGCTAATTTCAAATTCAATTTTCTTGGCACTCGCGCACTAACCACAACAAAAAGAGCAACAACACCAACAACAATGGCCAGCAAGCAGAACAACAAAATGTGTGAGAGGCTTGATCAATTTAGCGCTTGTTTAAATTAATCACTTGCAGATTGCTTCAAATGTGCCAACTAAACGATCCGATATCTGCTTCTTGGCCGGTCACCTTCGTTAAATTATGTGATAGAACGAAATTTTTGATTTCTTTGCAGGCTATTTCTGATCACGGTCGCACATGTGTTCTCGCCCTTTCAGCATAGGGCGCCTTTTAATTGCGTTTAAAATATGTTGCCAGATATTTCTGTGTATTTAAATGTATATACTATGTATACCCACATATAATACGATTGAAAATATAACACCAGACCTGCAGATGCTGCCAAAGATTGGCGCAACACCCGCTCTCCTACGCTCTATCAACTGCAATGGAAATAATAATAAATGTAGACAAGTTTTGTTGGCGGGAGGCACTGAAGGCGGTTCGCAGATGCTGTCAGCGCGTTGCCAAAAAACCTCAACGACGACAAAGACGGCACCGGAAAGTGTTTCTATATGACCACTGAGATACTCGTACTACATACATATATACATACATAAATACGTACACCACAATTTATAGACACCGGGCACCTTTTGCTTGGTCGTGTGACTGCCAGCTTTTGTTCTAATGCAGCCAAAATTTCGCGTAGGTGTTGGCTAAATGCAAAAAATAAAATAAAGTAATATACGGTACAAATAGATTTGTCTATTTCTACAAGTACTTATACCTATTGCCAAGTATGCCTACTTATGGGATGAGTCAGTGAGTGCTCTGCAATGATAGCAGTATGTAAGGAGACTGACTCTGTATAGCACTGAAGTCAGTTCAATTCTCATCACACTCTCCCATCAACACTCGCCCTCTGCACAAATCTCTTTGAATTTCATTCAAGTTATATATTAATTGACCATCAAAATGCTCGCAGTTCGATTAATATATAGTATGTATTGCCATGCTGTCTCTTTATTGGCTAGGAATATAAATTAAATTAGAGGGCATTGCCTAATATCAAATCCCCTTCTTGCCATACAAATATACATTACTAGGCTTTTATTTAGATGGCAATAATATGGAAAATGCACATTAAATAAAGAGTCACCACTTCTTTATAACGTTATGTGTTAAATAGAAATAAGAAAAATTTTTTTAGCTCAGTTTTTAATAAAAATATATTAATATTAACTATATACTCTTGGAGTGATGCAACACTATCACTTATGACTACAAGACCAAATTGGTTCTTTATTAATTTGTATTGTAATAAGCTAAATTTTAACTGAAATCAACTTTAAAGAAATTACAAAATATTTTCCAAATAATATTCATTCTTTGACCAATCATTTTAAAACCCGATCTGATCAAATATTAGTTACAGCTGGTCAAGACCGAATATGAAATACCCAATATTCACAAAGAAAAACATTATGTGTCAGGACGACATGCGATAGAAGTGAAACTTACTTGAAGTAATTTCATTTGAGTTTGAATACGAACTGCTATAATAGCTAGAAGAAGAGCTAGAAAATGCACTGAAAATTGTTTTTAAAAACCGCTGGAAAGGCCGCTATAAATAGTTTTCAAACAAGATAATAAATTGAGTGTAAAATCCGCCATCAGCTATAGTTGCCGATCCAGCTTTCAAGAGCCGCAGGAAAAACAGTTCTATTTCGATTTAAAATATTTCTGGAGTTCGCCGCAAACCACAAGAAATTAGCAGATACGCCAAATACAGGCGCTAACGCATATGCTGTACGCTTTTTTTCAGAGCATGTGTAGAACTGAAATCGAAAATATATTTTTGCACGAGGCGCGCACAATCTGAACTGACTATATAATTATAGCGACACCCACCTATTGGCGCCCAAATTTAACGAACGCTATGAAAACACACAATACGCACACACACACACACACACACATGCATACATACGCACACACACATAGGCAAACAAATATACACTCAATATCACGGACACGCACAGTTGCTCACGGTCAAGTTGAACGACATTGTGTGAGTGGGAGAGGACAGAAGACAGAGGACAGGCACAAGCGACAGGAGCGGCAAACGCCACAAATTGATGCGCGAATGTCACAATAACCCAATAAATAAACAAACGTTAATGAGAGGCAACAACACGCTACATACTCCCGAAATAGTGTACAATTGTTAGCGAAGACAACGACCATTACGCGGCGATGCTCGCGAATGTTTCTAGTCTAGGGCGGAAAGTGCTCAGAGAAATCATTTCTCTTCGATTTGGGGCTGATCGGAGATCGCAGCAGCAACAACAACCGCGGCAAGCACAGCCGCTGCCACAGCCGCAGTCGACGTCGACTACATCGTGTTTGTGCCTTTGATGTTGACTGAAGCATTTGCAAAAATTTGTGAGGCCGAGCAGTTTTAAAGAAAATCGCGACGCGACAACTTGGAAATGCGTTGCGTGCGCTCGTCACTAGTTATCGAGCAGTAGAAAAATCGGCGCCCAAGGATTAGCTGATTGAAGTGTGTGAGCAAAAGTGTTTATGTGTGTGTGAGCTAATTAGTGCGGCACAAGCGATTCGCGATTTTATGGCAACTGCAACTGCAAGTGCATTTGAATGCGAAAAGTGTCATGTGATTTAACGGCCCAACAACAACTAATGCTGGGCAATTCTTTGATTTTGCAAAGTTCATAGATTCATTTGAATAATTGTACCAAATTGAAACATTAATTGGCATACATTAATCCTCGTGGTCTGTGCCAAAAAATTAAACAAAGTCACATTAAAAATATACAAAAAAAAAATCGCTGTCTATTTGCTACATATATATGTATACTATATACATATGGATATGGATTGCTTGCTAAAAATACATAAATAAATAAGAGGAAGAAAACATAATATATAACAACAAATTTTATTTATTGCCTAAATATATAGCCAAGTGTATGCATGAGAATATATGTGCCTATGTATGTGTGTGCCTGTATGTGTGTTTGTGAGCCGTCTATAAAGGCAAAAGTCAAATAATTTCCAAATTCTTGTGCTAGTGAGAAACGCTAAAATTGTGCAAAAGCACTAACAACATTTTGCCTCATAAAATTTATTATAAAAACGGGCAACAAAAAAAAAAACTAAAGTGAAAAAGAAATTAAATTTCAAATTTCAGCGGACTTAGCAAAAATTTAAAATTTAAAAAAAAAATTACATATACAGAGAGGAGCAGAAACAATAAGAAACTACAAAAATGTCTACGCGAAGTTCGCTGACAAAAAAAACGTCGACCAAAAATGCCAGCTCGGACAAATCGACAAAGTCCTCCGCAACAAAAGCCGCCGTCTCCTCAGCGTCTACGCCAGCGTCGACGTCAGCCGCGACGACGTCATCGACGGCGCCATCAACAGGCGGCAGCAAACAAAAAATGCAATACACAAAGACCAGGGAGCGCATTGTCGACGGTAACTAAATCAGCTAATTAGCATACCATTAGCCAAGACAACAACCCGCCCACAAACTGCAAACGACCTTGACCCAATTGTATGTGCCAGCGAAATGAAAGATATATCGGGCATTGTCTTGCCATGCCTCGCCGTGCCTTCAAATGCAACCACATTGTTGGGCCAACATTTTATTATGTTATAAAAATAAATTGAATTATTTTAAGCACAAATTATAAAGCACAACTGATGCACAAAGCCAAGTCATTTTATTGGCTCATTTCCCGAAAATTTTGCACATCTTCCACACAACAAATAATGACAATTAAAAATTACATGCATACATACTCGTACATACTATATATCGATTTCCGACTAATATATACATACACTCGTATATAGTATATTACTATATGCACTCACTCAGTCAAATGTTCACTAACGAACTTGAGATTTTTTAATTAGCTCAAGAAAGTCATGTGGCGTGCATCTGGTGCATATTTGTGGGCTCATAAATCTGACTGCCGCTTGCCAGCAACTAAGCCAATAATTGCCGATAAGTTGCAGCAGCTCATTAACCCATATCGTTAGTCCGCCGTTGCCCACTGCGTATACGCAACGTTTGTTTATTCCCATTCCCATTTGGTTTCTCGCCGAACTCAGATGTGCCCCTGCCACCCACACACAAGCTCACCATGTCCGAGGTTTACGACGATCCCAAGACAGGTAAGCCCAACTTTGATGTGCTCCGTCAGCACTTCCTGCTGGAAGGACGCGTCGAGGAGAGTGTGGCCATGCGGATCATTAACGATGGCGCCGCATTGCTGCGTGAGGAGAAGAACATGATCGATGTGGAGGCACCAATAACTGTCTGTGGCGACATACACGGCCAGTTCTTCGATCTGGTCAAGCTCTTCGAGGTGGGTGGACCACCGGCTACGACGCGTTATCTCTTTCTGGGCGACTATGTGGACAGAGGATACTTCAGCATAGAGGTGCGTATGCTGAACAAAATGTAACATTTTACAAAATCCATATGCTTCAATCTCAAATTTCAACCTGCAATTAAGTTGCGCACTCCACACGACGATTTTCAATGTGGACTTGAAATTCTATTGCGATAATTTTCGATGCCGAATTTAATGGATATTGTTATAGATGAACGATTTTAAATGGATCTACAATTCAAAACTGTGGGACTAAAAACTCATTTCTAATTTGTTTAAAATCGATTTCACTTGACCAACCTGCAGAATTATATACCAACAAATAACGATTTCGGATAATTGCATATGTATTTTTATGTATTTTTATGTATTTCTATGTATTTTTATGTATTTTTATGTATTTGTATATTATATTGTGAGGCAAAGCATCAGAAAAATTAGAAAAAAATTAACCAGCATTGAAAATAACTGACTGATATGAAGGGGATCCGAAGTGAAAACAACTATTTATTCATTTAATTCAAATTTTAAATTTACTTTTTTCCTTAATGCCCTGTGCTGCGCTTTTTTTTTGTGCTAATCACAAACTGTCCTTTTCTTAATATCTGTTTTAATAATCAAGAGATGTTTGCTTAGGTACTGGAAATGGTGCAAATATTTTATTTAGCTCACGGTGAGGGATCTTCAAGTACTCCCGACTAGTGTTTGGGTACAATTCAGTTCTAATATATAATATGAATATGTGCGATATGTGCCTTTCCTATATAACAATATTTTCCCAAATTTCAAATCATATGCCTGATGTACTGACAATATAAATAGTTTGTTAACAATTCTAGCTCAAAAAACATAGTAACTTGTAAGATTAACCAATTTCAAACCATTTCGTCATACAATACTCAATGATTAACTTGTAAGCCCATTGGGTCTTGAAAAACTGAAAAGAATTAGTTTTTTTCTGTTAATTCAAAGCATTGAAGCCGTGCATTCAGAAAAGAGTTATTTATTGATTTAATGGACTAATATTTTTATTTTCTTTATGTGAGTCTAAAAGGGGTTTGCAGCATATAAAAGACGCCAGGAACATTTTTTTCTTTGGAAATATGTACATATGCTAAAGCTTTTGGGTAAATCAAAAACAATTATAACCCAGAGAGGAGATTAGCTATTCTGACCTCAAAAATATTGAATATTTTGATATTAGATCAACCCATTCAATGCGTTTCATAATCACAAAAGGGTAACATTAGATAACACCAATATACAAGTATGTGTTGAATATTTTTGAATAAACTGCAATATTTATACTCAATCTCACAGTATGATTTTGTCTGTATATGTCACTTAATTTGCCATACTTTCTATAATTCGTCCAGTGCGTACTCTTTTTGTGGTCTCTGAAGATAACCTACCCCACCACATTGTTTCTGTTGCGTGGAAATCACGAGTGCCGCCATTTGACGGAGTACTTTAGCTTCAAGCAGGAGTGTAAGTGAATGAATGGCGTTTAATGATATTTTAAGTGACCATATATTCATCTCTGGTGCAATGCATGTGGTTTTCAGGCATCATTAAATATTCGGAAAGTATTTACGATGCCTGCATGGAAGCATTTGACTGTCTGCCCCTGGCCGCGCTGCTTAACCAACAATTTTTGTGCATACACGGCGGCCTGTCGCCAGAAATTTTCACACTCGAAGACATCAAATCGGTAATAAATTTGGCAGACGAGCGTCTCGTTGAAATGTTTACAGCAACACATAAATGTCTAAATCGTGTCTATTCAGCTGAATCGTTTCAGAGAGCCACCCGCCTACGGTCCCATGTGCGATCTGCTGTGGTCCGATCCCTTTGAGGACTTTGGCAATGAGAAGACCAGTGAGTTCTTTTCGAACAATTCAGTGCGCGGCTGTTCTTATTTCTTCAGTTACTCCGCCTGCTGCGAGTTCTTGCAACAGAACAATCTATTGTCCATAGTACGTGCACATGAAGCTCAAGACGCGGGGTGAGTGTTTAAATACATTTCCAGGTAGATGATTAAAAGAAGTATAAAGGTCTCATAAGTTATTATTTCTTACGCCAATACTTGTAATAGACTTGTAGAAACCGCAATTGCTAAGTCTGTTTTAATATGTGTTGCAAACAGTTACAAGTATATTGCTTTTTTTCTTATTCTAAATATTTACAATGCGAATTTATATAAAACTATAAATCACATCCATTTGAATGAGCATTGATAGCCGAAGTCCTTGAACTCATCAATACTTTTAGAGCTAGAAATCCACTCAGTTTCCAGTTATCATACATACAAAAAAAAAATTTAAATCATATATCGTATACACATACAACTTACGGAAAAGGTTTTTGTTTTGATATATTTTTCGCAATTTTTGCGCCTATATGACTAAATTATCTACCCTTCATCATATTTAAAGGAATAAGTTCTATTAGTAGTTCCCTTCAAACTATAAAAACTGCCACAAAGTTTATACGGCTATGAAGATTAAAAACTAGTTATAAGTATGACTAACAGTCACTTTACTTTTTAGTTTACCATTAGGATTAGGATTAGTTTTGTCTCAGCTTTAGCGCTTATCATCGTCTATCCTCTCCCTTTCCATCGTCGTTTTACAGTTATCGCATGTACCGTAAGAATCAGGTGACGGGCTTCCCATCGCTAATCACCATATTCTCGGCGCCTAACTATTTGGATGTTTACAACAACAAGGTATGTGTGGCCAGTCCGCCACTACCCCAATCAGCCGCACCCCAACCCCTTAACTTGGCTTGTCTTTCGTTTGTTTATTTATCTTTCGGTGCTATTTTTAAAAATGGAAGCGGCTGCATTTGCGTTTTGATTTTCAAAAACGGCTCGCTGCGATATTTCCCTTTTAAAAATTTTTCATATTTTTTCGTTAACCCGCAACGCTCTCAATACACTACACGACACCATCACACAACACACACTCTTGCCTTTTTGTCAATGACAACTACAACAACAACAACAACGGCTAACCAAACATTTGACAAAAGGCAGCTGTGCTCAAGTACGAGAACAACGTGATGAACATACGACAATTCAACTGCTCACCGCATCCCTACTGGCTGCCAAATTTCATGGACGTCTTCACGTGGTCATTGCCATTTGTTGGCGAGAAGGTGAGCATCGGCTGGCTCTGGCGCTACTTTACAGATGCTATATAATACTCACTCGATAAATCATTCTAGGTGACCGAAATGTTGGTCAACATACTAAACATCTGTTCGGATGATGAACTGGTGGCAGGGCCGGATGATGAGCTCGAGGAAGGTGAGTAGATGGTATTTATGGGTTACTAGATGTCTGGTAGACAGTTGTAGTTAACTGGATGTTGTAGCGCTTTTGGTTGTTGTGTGACACTTGTCTAGGAATAACCATTTACATTTTGTCCATCCCAGTTACAAAGGGCGTAACACATTTATCGTTACGATGGCACTTCTTCATTTCGAAATGAATAAAAGTATCACCTTAAAATATCAGGTTGGTTAATTTATCTTGCAACATAAAACAATACGTACAAATTATCGATATAGGAAAAATTACGTTACATTATTTCGTAGCATGATTCAATAGTGTTTTTATCTTCACCATTCCATCATCAATAATATCAAATATAATCAAATGAAAGTGCAGTGAGTAATGTTACCAATAATTATGTAGATTTCATGTCAACACGACACCAAAAAAGGACTTGCAAAAAAGAGAAGGGTAGAACAAGAAAGTAGAGTGTTAAGCTCAGTCGGCATGGAGTCGATGAGAAAGCAATCTTTAATTATACATAAAAGGAACCATTTTAGGAGTCACCGTAGAGATTTAAAGGTCGCTAAGAGTATTTGAAAATACTTTAGGTTAGACATAGAAAATCAAATCTTTAAAATCAATGTAAATTGATGCAAATTTTCCAAAATGTTAGGGTCTGTAAAAAAATTTAATTGAATTGAATTAAAATTGAATTTTTCTTAAAACAAGCATCTACAAATTATTGTTTAATTCAAGTTTACTTATCAAATGTAACCAAATTTGTTTTGCAATTAAACGAAAAATGTTAGCGATTTGTCACTCAAATATGTGTTAGTGAGTTTTCCCCATTTCACCTCCATAATTTATGATGGCACTGGTAGATAACCAGTATCTAAAGACAGTTGGCATTGTTAATCTCAGTTAATAGTGCTGTCATCTGTCCAATACATTTCTGGCTCACTTATAGGTTAGTTTTTATTTGACAGCCAATTGCATCTCTGGTGTTGCGTGTTTCTCTATAAAATGGAAAATGGGCAATATAAACCCGTAATTCGACTTGTATTTTTGGATGGACATGCAATCCATTAAAAATTTGAAGCTGTCTAAAAGGGCGCCTGACAACATTCCTTAATCGGTCAAAGTGGCTACCAAGGTAAGGTCTGGCGGATTGACGCTAGCAGAAGTTAAATTTGTGGAAAGCGCCGCAGAGTTTAAGAATTGATAGATTGGTCACGAAAGTGCACTTGTGCGTTGACAAAATAAAATTATAATTTGTGGAAACTTTCGTCATTATTTCATGGCAAACATAAAAATCCAGCAGAAAATAAAATTAATTTTATATAGTAGTTTGTTCCTTTACGAAGACTAGCTGTGGATTTATGTTTTATATTTTCCTTGCTTGCTATCGTCTCAATTACTTTTGTTTTTGGTGTAGTGTCCCATCAACAAACAACAAACAAACTTAGCTAGGTTTGGATTTCATTTTCTTTTGAATTAGTTACGCCCTTTCTAACAATAACAAAAATAATGCTAACTGTAAACTTCTGTTGAAACTATTTTCAAAATGTATTTGCACACAAATAATAAACAACAACAAAAAAACACAATTACACCAACAAACACCCACACTCGTACACGCAGAGCTGCGCAAGAAAATTGTACTCGTGCCGGCAAACAACAACAACAATAACAATAATACGCCCAGTAAGACAGGTAAGCTCCGTGTTTAGGTCAGCCGCCTTGTTCTTATTACCGTTACTTCATCCGCTGTTAACAGCAAACAGTGGCGAGAGCTTAACGAGCTTTGCTATTGATGATCAGCTTTGGCGAGCTTTGCCGCAGCTGTTTGCGCATCTACCTAATGCGATAAATATGAATGAAAAGCTCTCGGAAGCGTTATTAACGGCGGCTTTTGCATACCTCTGAAAATTGCACGGCATTGCTTATTGCAGTTGTAATGGGGGTAGGTTGAAAAGTTATCTTAAATGTTGCGTTTCGCAAGTATTTCAATTATTCTTTTATACAAAGCTAAAGTGAAGTTAAATATACACCCAATGAAACATGTCTTAAGAAGTAGGATGTTGTACAACACTTGAAATTTTTAGTATTTTTTAACGGGAGTGTGCAGTACAACTGGCAATGGAAGCCTAAAAAGCATGTGACTTCAATTTTGTATTTCATACAGAGCCTGAAACTGTAATGAAATTTAATGTGCCTGTCGTTGAAGGAACTTTTGGTTCCTTTATGAAGTCAATTTTATGATCTAACACCACAAAAATTGTTAGTCTATCAACTACAAACCATGAAAAACAAGCCGCCCTCTTAGCGTTTATTAGCAGTAACTTTAACAGTAAATACCAACAATAATCTAGAAATTAATTAAAAAAATTCAGCAACTTTAATATATTGGAATCGTAAGTGTTATTGCTTTGTTTGACAATCATTAACCTAAACATAAATACTTTTTTTTACACGCTTACAAAATTGCAAACACTTACCACATGTGATGCAAGGGTCATTTAAAAGATCTCTGCCAAACACTAAATATACATATACTCCCTCTATAATGTAGGCATGTCGGCGGCTCGCAAGGAGATTATACGCAACAAGATACGTGCCATTGGAAAAATGTCGCGGGTTTTTTCGATTTTAAGGTAAGTCGTCTGCAGTATAATGCACAATTGCACATTAACTTTTGCGCACGCCCATAGGGAAGAATCAGAGAGCGTGTTGCAACTTAAGGGTCTAACGCCTACGGGTGCTCTGCCTGTGGGTGCGCTATCTGGTGGTCGGGACTCGCTTAAGGAGGGTAAGTTTTAATTAACTTGATTTTTTTGGAATTAAAAAAGGTTGTTTTTATAGCTTTTGTTAAATTTTATCACTTGCTACTAATTTATTATTTATTTATGTATTTTTTCTCTTTACGTAGCATATACATACATAGAATCGTATACATAAAAATCGTATATCGGCTTCTTTATACAAAATGCGGCATCTCTCTCTATTAAAGAAAATACAGCCTTATGCTATGTCCCTGTTAAATCCGCAAAGAATATCAATGTGATTCACATTATATTCGTTTCAGCTTTAACACCTTTTGAAGAATATGAATTCGAAACATTTTTAAATTCGAGCACAATATTTCGAACAAGCTTTTTCCATTCAATTACATTACATTCTATTCTACCTGTACAAGTAAATATTTAATATATATTTATTTATACTTTATACTCTACTATGCTGTATAGTTTCCTTTTTGTGGCCTTGCGCGCATAATATTCCATAATCTGTCTCAAATATATCTTAAAAATGTCCATAGCAACATACAAAACTGATAGGCATATGTATATCAAATTTTATAATAAGTCTGCTGCGAATTGCATGAAAAATTTCCATATTCCACATTCAGGCCAGCATGAGAGGTCTTTAACGTTTATAATCTTTAAAATTGAACGATAACAAGTATAGTCGCACTTATCTGCTTAACGTAAGGGGCGATGTGATATTTAAAATACAACATTATCAACATTTCTGGAGACAATACAAATCTGTATTAAAATTTTTCCATACAGCACTGCAAGGTCTGACGGCTGGCTCACATATTCACTCGTTTGCCGAGGCCAAGGGCTTGGATGCAGTCAATGAGCGGATGCCGCCACGTCGTTCCCTGATATTGAGCGCCAGCAGTAGCAGCATCTGCAGTAGCAGTACCACCACCACCAACAACAACAACAACAGCACAACGAAAAATAACAATAATAAGAATGAAGTTACCGTCACTAGCAAGACGACAGTCAAGTCGGCAACGACCAGCAATGTCCGCACAGGCTACATGAGCAAGAAGTTTTCATAGTCGCCACTTTTTGGCAGTCTCTCTCCTTATTTTTATAAACAATATTTATTGACTATCATAATATTTGATATATCTTTTGTTAGTTGAAATTTTATACACAAATGTTTTTAAATTCTAGTGAAAATTGAATTTATTTGCAATCTGTCTAAGTTTTTACCCACCACCTTAACTTATGTTATGCCCCCAAATTATGTTCAATATAAATCTAGATCATAATTTTACATGACAATATGAACAATTTTTTAATAAAAAATCGACCAAGTTTCACAAGACGAAATAAAACTGGCGTTCTATGGGTGCTGTGTATAATTAAGAGGTCAGCTTGTGAGAAAAACAGCCAACAGTTGAGGCAACTGCAGCGCCAAATGGGGGTATCCCTAAAACCTATTTGGAATTAATAGATATTACTAGAACTGGAAAACTGACTATATGAAGTTTTCAGCTTACGGTGCAAGTGTCGTGTTCAGAAGAAACAACAGACATGCTGCAGCTCTACATACCCTAAAATCTTTCCCTTCCCTTCTTATGAATATTATAAAAGTTAAGCACATTCGTAAAGTTTCCGCTTCCTCAATGATTTTAACAGCTTCAGCAGTAAAATACTGCAGTAAGGTATATAAATTTGTTAGTTAGCGTGAACGCGTTTTTAATTTAATTCAGTTACATTTCACATTTATTTTTAAATTAAATTCCACTGAATTAAAGCTTAGGAACTTGACTTTGCAAATGAAACAAAACAAAAGTATACAGCAACTAAACAGATTTGTTGTGTATTATTATTCCAAGTATGAATGTACTACATAATAAGTAAGTATATACCTACACGATTGGGCTTTATCCCAACAATAATAAATATATACTTACTATACAACTGTTAAGCATTTGGCGAACTTCCGTTTTGTATGAACCAAAAATAAATCTCAAATTGAAAATCGAGGCGAACATTCACTAGAATTCTGAAATGTTTCAATGGGGGTATTAAGTTATTTAAACGGAGTGCGTGACCAGTACTCTTTATGGGCGTTTTGGGCGAATATACTTAGCTCTAGAATGGAAAGATATGTGTTTAATATATGGCTCTAAATAGATATTTATCTTATCTTATCTTATAATATCAATATTGACAGTATTGTTATAAAGATTATTGGACAACAACATTTTAGCAAAAATGCAATATATTTAAAGAATTATCGAAATAGAACAAAACGTACTTTGAAGCCGGCCAATAATTAGGTATTTGAAATTTATAGAAAAAAGCACTAGTTTTTCTCTATATACTGAGAGAAACACAATTAAAAAGTATTGAAAACTTTTGTACTTCATTTTAGAAGAAACATACTTAATACTTAAGTGTACGCACCTACAAGTTTCCAATACGCGGGGAGCACCAAATCGTTGCGGTATACCGTTGGCAATTACCGAACTAAATACTACAGCAGGGTGACGTAAAATGGAATAATCCGGAGATCCTGCACTACAAAGAAAGCTTATGGTGGTTAGCAGAGACCAGCGCGACAAGGACTCACTTGGATCACACCAACGATAAGAGGTGCTAGCAGAGCAGAGACGGGCATTACATTAAAAGTCATAAATGGTAACATTTTCTTCATAAAAGATGAAAGATGAAAAATTTACATTATGTACAAATGTACAATACATACACGTACATAAGTACAATACATACATATGAAATAAAATATGTTAACACAAAGGAACTAGCGTTGCGAGCAGCAATTTATTTATTTGCAGCTGAACACTTCACTTCATTGATAAACAGCAGTACATTCAACCTTCCCCGACCTTTACAAGGCCGTTGCTCTAGTGCATCGACAGCTTGTAGAACTTGTGCCCCAACTTATTGCCCTACCAGCTCTAGTCAGGCATAACATCTCCACAAAAAAGGCGTGCAAAATATAGCCAACAACAATGTTCAGTAAAACAATGTAATAATAATTATATAAATTATTACGGCAACAAAAACTTTCTTAACGCCATTAACGAGTAGATTTGAGCTTTTTGTTTCGTTTTTATTGTACAATGTCATTTGAAAACGTGAGCAGCAAGTGAATATTTTACTGTCATATTTTTACAACACTACTTGTATGATACTGCGAGATGGTGGCGTGGATTTGATTTAAATTAAGCCCAACCACACACACGTCCACACACTGACTCACTATCTCGGAGAGCTAACAATAGGCCCATTTAGACACCCCTAAAGATAGCAAAATGGTTTGCATCAGATTCTGCTTCTGATCATTTATTTACTCGTGCATTGGCGACATCGTGTAACAGTGATAATGATAAATAGAAGCAAGTTTAGAACGCGAATTAAGATTTATGCACAATACAAGTATGTGTGGCATGTTCATGTTTTTGGCATTGGCTGACAAAGTGGGGTGAATGATTTGGGAGCCATTATTAAATAGCAAGAGATATTTACACTGAAAAAAATTCATAACATAAAACGTTTCCAATTAAGGAAAATAAATTCAACTTTTAATGGACATCCGTAACGCCGTTGAGCTGTAATTTATAAATTGTGCAATGTTGCCACATTTTCATAAAATTCTTAAAATTCCCAACAATTTCTTTGACAAGCATTGGAAATGTTGTTGCATTACTTGTGAGTCCAAAAGGAGACCACCGTTGACCAAATACATGCATAAGTAAGATATGAAAATTTAAGAAGACCTCTTTAGAATAAAATTTTAGTGCAGTTTCTTTATATGCTTCATGCTAAGCATTGTTAGAATAGAGAGAATTCGCGGCTTTATTCTGCGAAATTGAGAGAATTTCGTCTTCGTCTTCATCCTTCTGAGCATAACAACTGCCGAATCAAGCAACCACTTCAATATGTAACACAACTGCCTAACTACTTCTCCTTTTTCGCCGACCTGTGTGGCCCTTATGATTAAGCTCATAGGTTTTAAGCCGATAAACTAAAAGTATATAATATATATATGATATATATAAACGTATAATATAATTAGTTGGTTTTCAAGTGAACTATTTATGTAATTTCCCCCTGGTTTCCAAGTTTTCAAATCCTACATTTTCTTCTGACTGCATCAAAGAAGCAGAGATAGCAGCAATAACTATAAATGGGCAAGGAGCGGTATTAGTATTAATATTTGTGAATGATAATACTGAATTAAAATTATCACTTAAACTTTAATTTGTCTAACATATTTGAAATATTTTGAAGACACAATCGTGCCCCATTAGGTATTTCAAGTTCAACTGGACTGTTCCAATCCCATAATAATCATAAATGCAAATTTACAAACTCGAAATATCAATAACCATTATAACGAGCTTACTTAAAATAATTCATATCGTTTTGTGATGCCGTGTTTAGCTCAGAATTTAAATAAATGACATATGTAGTATGTACAAGTACATATTTCGTTTATCATTCTTACTTCTGCTTAGTTCGATTGTACTTGAATTAAGCCATCACGGTTTTCTCAGTAAAGCAAATAGTTGTGTACTTGTATGTGATAAAAAATATAAAAAAGTACGACAGAAAGAAGGGGACAAATAAACACGCATACGCCCGCGGGTGCCGCAGTTGTCATCTGGTTGAAGACAAAACCAACAAGTAGACGAAAACTTTATGAATTCCGCATGAAGCAAGACTAACAAAATACATACATATGTATAATATGTCAAAACATAATAAATTCATCCAGACCACGCACGAGATATGGAGACAGTCGTTCAAAACGACCCAGCGGACAGATAAAGGTGGAAATCAGCAGTCGAACAGCAGCCGTCGACGTCAGATACACGTGAGCAGTTGGCTGGATAAATCACCGGATTGACACGCGGTCTCAGAACAAACAGCCCCATAAATGCATAAAAAAAAGAGCACTTTATGGCACTCGACGACGATAGGGAGGATCAGGACTGGAATTGGCCCTAAAAGCCAAATAGGGAAACGTTGCGTTCAAGTGCCAGTCTGAGAACTTTATGACTTTATCTACAGATGCAATTTGAATTGTGCAAGTAATATTCAAATATATACTGCCCCATATGTAGTCCGAGATCGAGAAACTCGCACACCCCCACATGTCAGCTCTAATGGTCCGTTTAAAGTGTTGGCGTCGTTGTCATTGTCGTCGTCGTCGTTGTGGTTGTTGTCGTTATCTTCGTCGTCGTGTCGCGAAGTTCGTCGCTACTGTCATCGTTCTGGATCGGTTACCGAGCATATAACGGAGCTTCGCGGCCCATTGTGGCGTTAGTCGTCGCAAATCCGTTAATTGACATCCACCTAGTGGGGTCTAGTAGCGACAAGTGTAGCGCTACAAAATCATTTTGCGCATTCAAATCAAATGACCCGCTGAGGTCTTCGTTTGCTTTTCCTGCACAAAGCTAAGCTGTGATATAGTACTACTTGTATACTATAAATAAACCCGAGCGTTAAATTAATTTCGTTTCGCGTCTTTAATTGAGAAAGTGTTTATAGTGCGAGTATTCCAAACCATACAAAATGCAGTGCTTGCTGATCCTATTTTGTGGCGTAGCTGTGGCCTGGGCGGCGGTTACTGTACAACCACCACCTCTGATCCAAACACTCAGCGCTGGCGGTGATATCGGACCGGAATTCAAGCTGGACGAGCAGGGAAGAATTGTTGAAGGTGCGTTTCGGTCGGAATAGAATATTGCTTTTCAGACGTATAGTAATTATATGTGCCAAAAGAATTTGCACGCGTCTAGATCGTATTAAAACGCACGTGATGCCTGTACTAAGAACGCATTCAAGCGTTAAAATAGTACGTGAAACTATTTATATTAGTTCCGCACTAGCATTGACATGATTTTTTGAAACATTACGTACTATCTTTAGACAATTCTAAAAAGAGATTACACCTAATTCTGCTTTTACACGGTTTTTTTTAACGCGGTTTGAAAAAAAAATAATATATGGTTGCACTACTTTATTCCATTTAGCACGATTTATTTTGTATATGATCAACTTTTTTTACACGGTTTTTTTACGCGGTTTTTTTACACGGCTCTTTTTTACACGGCTCTTTTTTACACGGCTTTTTTTACACGGCTTTTTTAAGAACCAATCTACCGTGTAAAAACAGAATTAGGTGTAATATCCACATTTTAAAACTATATTTCTGTTATTTACGCATATTTACACAGCTTTGAATTTTTGTGCGCCTGTCACCAAATTCCATTCTAATTAAGTACTCTGCTTATTCAGTAGCTAATTGCTCCATTAAATTTTTTTTTGGCAAGCGTGTGTCGGCCTCAGATACGAGTGAGTTCAAAAATATCAGTTCAACCTGTGCAATTAGCAAAACCAATTCTAATTAAAACTGGATATCTGCGAAAGCTGTTTTTGACGCATGTTCAAAAACAAACCCCCATCATCAGTAATTGTTGTGTTTACAGCCGACGGAACTGTGAATAGATATTAATTAAAGGTGTTAGCACCCTAATATTCATACCAATCAGTTTCGCTGACAATGAAAATTAGCAAGCAAATAGCGCGCGTAACTTTAACACGCCTCAATGAAGACACAATATTTGTGCTCAACTCTTCTACATTTTCGAACAAATTAAAATTTCAGTTTTTAATACATTTTCGAACAATTTTAACTTTAATGTACGTATGTATTTCGTATTGAGTTTCAAGTACTTAGTAATTTGCATTAGTTTCAAATTTTTTTACTGGAATTTGTTAATAAAAATAGGTTTCAATTATTATTATACATTTTTGTATAAAAGGACCACTTTTGTAAAAATATTAAAATATTATAATTTTTTAACATGGCTTCGTACTCAGCTCATGTAAAAATTAGTTTTGATATGGAGCTAGTCTTTAATCAGCCATTTTTGAAATCGAAAAACTAAATGTTTGTTTCGGAATAAAGAAATATACTTCCGCAGCATTTAAAAGAATGTAGAAAAATAATAGGCCTGAAAAACATGTTTCCAAATGCTTACTTCATCATCAATTTAATATAACAATAATCAAGTCTTTAAGGTATCAAAAAAATATTTTCAAATATGTAAGAAAATAGGTCCTAAATGAAGGTGCTAAGTTATATAAAAACTATTTGTAAGACCTATAAAAATACATTGCCTGAGTATGCGGTAACATATACATATCTAGAAAAAGACAATGATTGATATACTTACCCGGTATATGTCTATCTAATGCCAAAAGTACATAATAAGTAGTAATGATACAAGTTTTCTGGTTGCTCATAACAGCAATAATAATTACAAATTGTAATTGTCAACAATTGAGTTAAATTGCTTTTAATAGTATATTATTCATTTTACCTTATCTTTGTTACTAGCTTATAAGTTCTCAAATTTTATATTATTTGCTCGATAGCTTATATCCCTTGGAATATGTTCTTTACACAGTCCCTAGATCAGGTACACGGCTTTAAGCACATTTTTCTCAACCTTGAGTGCGTTGCTTCGAGATAATTATAGTATATGTTATTTTGTTATGAGGACTTTATAGCCATAAGCCATCACCACCATGACTATAAATTGAAAAGATGAAGATAATAGTTAACCAATTAAGACTATTAATTGTTTTATATGCACTTTTTGCGCCATGTGAGTCGTTTGGAATTAAATGGGAATTAACATTTCGGATAATATTTTGATAAACCATATTTACTTTTATTATCTACAAGTATATCATATATCATAGTATATCATAGTTTCAAATTTAAAAATTAATTTAAATTGTATTAATTTATATTTTTTAAAGCTGCATTTATCTGCTTAGTACTTCAGTTTGTATCTAAAATGGTTTCCATTCTTTGAATAGCTGATTCCAAATACGAACACATATATATTTTTCAGTTTGTAAAATATAATAATAACTGTAAGGTTTTAGAGTTGTATGCAGAAAACTTAAAATTAGTATCAGTAACAAAATTCGTTGAGGGTATTATTACTTTTGAATGCCGCTCTGTGTCGTTGTTTTTTTTATTCACATAAGCAGCGACACAGCTGCGTACACGGCTTGAATAATAAACATAATATAGCAAAAACAAACTGTCGGCTTTACTAACTACGAGTATACTATATACTATATCATTGTCCATGACAGCGAAAAAGGAACCGAGTCGAGGTAACAATAATTGAAAAGTGCTATGACACTTTAACTAGAGAACAATTTTAGAACTACTTACATACTTGTATATACCCATACTATACAGATATTTGCCTTTGGTATCTTTACATGTTGGCTGTAAAAGGTTTTGTAGGTTTATGATATTACACTTTTTTATGGCTTACTGCTTAGACTTGAAATATTGGTTAATTGCCATTTTATTTGAGGTGCAAGTTTAATTGCAAGCTGATAAACTAGTGCTGAAATATGAAAAGCATCCATCCTCCATCATAAATCTGTTACTTAATTCACTCGTTAAGAAATCAGTCACGTTAGCAAATAAAAAGCCCCTTACCCTAATAAGATCTATGGAAGTATAGTATAGTAAAAGTATAAGTGGAATTCCCCTGCTACAAATAGATTGAAATGCAAAAATTACAATGACAGCTATAATGGATATACACGAGACATTTGGTTGGCTGTTAAAAATCCCGCTAATGGTTTTTCTGTGACCAACTAGAAATTCTCTAATCAGCAATGATATTTTTCACGTAGAAGCCGCTTCTGTGTACTTAAAGAGCGCAACAATCTAAATAATTAGCAGTTCCTACTGGAAACGCTTAAAGCTCACAAACTAGTCTTACTGGATATAATTAAGACGTGATCTTAGCTTAGCTCAAATGTTCAGTTCAATTGCCAGACATAAACAATAAAGCACAAGTAGTCGTATATAAGTATTTACATATATTTATTTATCCGATCCGTTCTACAGATGCGCAATATTGGCACAAGGTGGGACTGCAACAGCTGGAGAAGACAATACAAAAGGCCAAAAGGGCGAAGGAAAACTCGTATGAACGCAAGGCCAAAAATATTATTATCTTCATTGGCGATGGCATGGGTCTGTCCACCATAAGCGCCGGTCGCATCTACAAGGGACAATACCTGAAGACCGGCTTTGGAGAGGAGACTATGCTCTCTTTCGACGAATTCCCCAACACCGGTTTGGCAAAGGTGCGTTGCAATATCTAATTATACGAATAAATCGCATTTTTCATGAGACGTAAAGCCGATGTCTACATATAGAATACGTTTGAGTAATGATTCGAAATTACCGCAGCTCTTACATAACATTTAGCCGACCGTTACAACAATAGTTACAATTTAGTTTTCATCACAGGCTTTCAATTGATCTACATTTTAATTCATTTTTATATTCAGATTTAATCGACTATTTTAATATAAGTGTGTTTTAGTAGAATAGTAGAGTTCCAACTGGTTCCCACTAAATTTTTTAGTTGTGTTTGCCTTTAGATATCACCAAAATCTTTTGTAGCCATTAAAGAAAATGGCAAATTTGATGAAAGTACAAATCATGACAATATTAAATGTTAATACTGAAATTATACCTTTTCGGTATTCCTGAAACAATTTGCACTCAGACACCGAATTCATCGATGGCTGGAAAAGGTTGAAAAGCAAATGTAAAGATGAAGATATGCAAGATTCTTTTATGAATGTAATTCATAAATATTAATTAATATTTATTTTAATGAGTTCCAATCATCAATGTCAGTTGGGCATTTACGTAAATAGGTCACTTAAAGGTTTAATTAAAATAATAGGAAACGTTCATATTGATATTTCGAAAATGTACAATCAATTAAAACTGAATTAAAGAAAAACCCCTATATACTATATACTATACTATTTAAAAATCTGGTTAGTTTTGCATTAAAAATCACCCAAAGCCGACTTCTCTATTTATTTTTTTTTAAACGGCAAAATTTTTATTTATTATTCATTTATTTATTTATTTAATGAATCAACAAGTTATGCTGTCGATACAGATAACTATAAGATGTTTTATATTAAATTAATGTAAAGATATAGAACAATACTATGTTATTATAGTATAAACTCGAAAACATAAACTTACTTACGAGCTTTGAAAACCTAAAAGTGTTAATTGAAGGTATTTACTTTTAAATTGCAATTTTAATTATTCAACAATTATCTCGACATATTTCTTCATTCAATATCTGTAGATTTAAAGTCTATCCAGATAGACACTATGTACGAGTGGTACTCCTTTATCATTAGTACGGATTAGTCAGTTTAATGCTTATCCGGGCAAATAGTACATTGTACTACATTCTCATTCATACTTACATACAAATATCATAATTCTGAAAATCTCTGGCTGTTTGGTTATTCAGTTTCCACTTATTAATTTAAAATTTTTTTCCTTTGCAGACCTACAATGTGGATAAACAGGTACCCGATTCTGCGGGCACAGCAACGGCAATTTTTACCGGCGTTAAGTCCGATTATGGCGCCATTGGCATGGACACTACGCGATCCGAGACCAACGCCACCCAGGGACAACTGGAGTCGATAATGGACTGGGCTCAACGGGAGGGCAAACGTACCGGTGTGGTGACCACAACTCGAATCACCCACGCAACGCCTGCCGCCACATATGCGCGCATCTATCATCGGGACTGGGAGTGCGATACTGAGGTGCCCCAACAGTCGGTGGGCATACATGCCGATATAGCACGCCAGCTGGTTGAGCGTGCTCCTGGCAATAAGTTCAATGTGGTGCTTGGTGGCGGTCTGTCGCCGATGGGAGCGCTAAACCAAAGCGAAGTGCGAACCGTAAAATTTGAGGGAGATACGGAGACGATTTGCACACGTGGCGATCAGCGAAATCTGGCAGAGGAATGGCTGAAGCTGCAGCAGAATGGCACTGAGGGTTCACAGAGGGTGCTGGTAAAAACGCGGGAGGATTTGCTGAAGGTGGATGTCAAAAAAGTGGATCACTTGATGGGTCTGTTCCGCAACAACCACATAACCTACTCGATTGCTCGGGAAGAGGGAGAACCATCGCTGCAGGAAATGACAGAGGCCGCCATTGGAGTGCTGGAACGTGGCACAAGCTCAGCCGGTTATGTGCTGCTCGTCGAAGGTGGTCGCATCGATCAGGGTCATCATCAGAATTATGCACGTGCGGCACTCCACGAAGTCTACGAACTGGACTTGGCCGTGCAGGCGGCCCTCAATATGACCAATTCCGATGAGACTCTCATCCTGGTCACTGCCGACCACTCACATGCCGTCACCTTCAATGGTTATCCATTGCGTGGAACTGACATTTTGGGTCCCGCTAACATACACAAGCCCAAAGATCCAATGGTCTATGAGACCATTACTTACGCCAACGGACCTGGCTACTTCGATCACTTGGCGAATGACACACGTCCACAGAACAGCTCCAATGTGTGGCTGCCTTTGAAGTTATTCAGCGAAGCGGAGCTGCAGTCCCCCACCTATAGACACATGGCTACGTTGCCTCTTAAGGATGAGACGCACGGTGGCGAAGATGTGATTGTTTTTGCCAGTGGACCCGGTTCGAGTCTGGTGCGTGGCGTCTTTGAGCAGAATTATCTTGCCTATGTGATGAGCTATGCTGGATGCATGGGACCTGCCAAAGCAATCGATGGATCATGCCAAAATCCCCTGATCGGATCAGTAGGCACCAGTACAAGCAGCGGCATTAGCCTAACAACCACCATCCTACCAATTATGGCTGCTATTCCGGCACTCATTTCGACCAGACGTAGTCTTTGAACTTATATAGTTGTAGACCTTAATATTTAGTGTAATATAGTAATTCATTCTAAACACTCACGTAAGCCACAAGAGAGCAGGCAATGTCGCCATGGTTTTTCCTAATTTTTCCATATGCGGCATTTTCCAAATAAAACTGTTACTGAAACCAAAACTTGATTTTATTTTTGAAAAGTTAAAAACTATAAGACAACTATGATCATAGTTTGTAAAATAGATCAGACGAGAGAAATGAAAGAGATAAACCTACTTTAAGCAGAAAATTACAGACTTTTTCGAATTTTTGATACCGAATATACAAATGCCAACTTGCTTTGGCAAAGCAGGTGTACAAAGCCCAATTCTTCTAGTATAGAAAGTGCAGATAGTATCAGCCTTATGTGACGAGAGATCTATTCGTACTTCACAGTTTGGCCGAGCCATCGTAAGGAACTAAGTATAAAACCCTGCCGTAAAGGCTATTACCATTCCAGATTCACAAGAAGCTCTTCGGCTTTTCTTATGTGCTGGTCTGTCAGGATCCATTCCTGATCTGTCATCACCTTCCCACTGTCCAAATGCTACAGACCATGATGGAGTTGGTAAACAAAAAAGTAATGAAAGACATACATATCCTGGAGAACCCTGAAATTTTTGGTGAACCGAGGGTGACCCATTTTTTCAATGACTTTAGGCCATTCAGTAAATGAGCTTTGATTTTTCAACGCTCCTGTTCAATATCTATCTTAAACCATCGTTTTCATTACATTGCAATTGTTTCGAGTATCACAATCCGAACTTTTTAAATGAAAAACTTGTTTACATTAATATCCATTAAATGTTGATAGTTTATTTAATAAAATTTCAAAAGTGTAATTCGAAAGTTGCCTTTTGTTTTTATCTTTATCATTTTATGCTAATATCACAAAATAATATATGAAACTAAAATTGTACGAGAACTTGCATAGCTTTGAACTGAAACCAAAAAAAAAAAAATTAGGCAAATACATAAATATCGCAATCATACATTTCAATATGTATGTGACATAAATACCAATTAATTCAGTGCTTAGCTTAAGAACATATCGGGAGATTCAATACAATGCATAATGTGTAAAACGAAGATAGAAAGCACATATATATAAGATTTCAAAAACTTATGCTACATGATAAATAATGTGTAATAGAAATAATTTTGTGTCAAACAAAATGAAAAATGCACCAATTGTGGAGAGCCACTAATAAAATAATCATAATATCTTGTTGCAAAAAATGACATCTTAAGTTTAAGTTCAATTGTTAAAATATTCAAATGTGATCAAGTAACGATATTTTGGTACTTATATCTAAACAAGAATTGTTTTAGGGCTTGAACATTAATTATGTTTCTTCTTTCTTTTGTAGGAATTACAATGAAGCATACTAGGTTACAATATGTTGATTATTTGATTAAGTTTCATGTTATTGAATATGTTTTTAAGGTTTTGCTACCTTTTAGCAGCCGCTTTGGTTTTTATTTCTTTATTGGGGGAGTTTTGGTAAAGGACTAGTTTGTGTTGCATTGCTTTTGGTGGCTACTGTTGCTAGTTTACTTGGACCAACAGAGAGAATCAAGAAACGATTATGTACGTTACATACACATATACAAAAATTAACAAACAAATCTTAAATAGTTATGGCAAGTTTTTGTGCAGCTGCGTTTTTGAAACGCGCATGGCCAACAAATACTTTTATTTCAAATACCTAAAAAATTTATAAATAAGTCTATTTGAGCGCAAATTCGTTTTAGAACACGCGTGCATGTTTTTTAGTTGTCGTTTTCTCTTTGTAAGTCTGTTCGCGCGGTGAGAGCGTTTTACGATGATTGGAAATACTGAAAAGGGCATTTAAATTTTATATGAGATTCAGGCAGTCTACTGCATACTTTTCACAGTTTTTTTCAAGTCCAATGTGATATATAAGGAACTATAACTAATACAACAAACGCAACTCACGTTAGCTCCTGACAAACATAGTTATCGACTTACAAACGCGGTCCATATAGTTGTTGTCACCTACGTCACCTGTGGGGGGTGAACAACAGTGGAACTCATAATTCAACGACGCGCACGTGAACACTGAACTGCAAGGCGCTGGCAAAAAATTCGTCATCAAATCTTAAAACATAACTATTAACTAATTTGGTACGTAAAGTCTTTGCATCTTTATCCTGAACGTCATGATAATGGAAAATATGTCGTGCAGAAGCAAAAAGCAGAATCTTCCAATAATAACCAAGGCTAACGAGCAACAGTAACAATAAACTGCTGGCCACGCCTCCCTCAAGTAGCGTTACCGGCAACACAAACTTAGTCCCATACTCACAAGAGAAAGAGTCACTGGTAGTTAGTTGGATTGATGCGGCTGCTTTTGTGGCTGCTCGAATGCTAGTTCCGTCATGTTTGTGCTGTGGCAAGGAAGCGTTAAAACGATGGCTAAGCTGGGCTGTTGTTGACAGGACATTGTGTAGAGAGTAGGTAAGAGCAGATCGGGAGTTATCCATATGCAAATCTTGGCATACATTAAGCAAGTCGCGACAATGGCTACGTAATTGGGATCGTTCCACTAACGGATTCATTGGTGCGGAGTAGGTGTCGGTATGTGGTAGGGTTGGTTGTTGGTTATTTTGTTTTTTGATAAAATACTTGTAGTGAATTTTGATCATCTTTAGTTACGGTTGAATCTGCTTCTTGGGTTTTTTTAACTCAGCATCTTCATCGCGCTTGACTTCAGTGTAACGTTCGCCTTTTAGCGAGACAATCTTGTTGTCACGGTAACGTACCAGCTTGCGCGGCTCCATCTTTGGCACCACCGGCTTGTATTCACGCTGAGTGGCGTTCTTATCCACGTAAGAGTACCTTAAGTCGCGCCAAATATGCATTAGTAGTTTACTGAGCAATACTAATAGAGCTTACCTGGCTATAATGCGATTCTTGAGCTCATTGTCATCCACGATCACATTTTTCTTGATAGCCAGAGTATTTGACTTGTCAGTGAGGCTCTGGCCAGTCTCCTGGCGATGCAAAAGTATCTGGGTAGCACTGTCAATATCACCCTTGGCAATGGCAATGCAATGCTTCACCTGTAATTGAGCAAACCAACAATTAAAGATGCAGTTTTGACTTAACAGTCCGACCTCACCTCAACGTAGGCCGTGTCGGGAAACATTTCCTGCAACACTTCGGTCTCATCCATAAAGTAATCGCAAGTGGAGCTCGAGCTGTCAGTGGAGCCACCATCACTGGTCTCGGACAAATGTTGGGCGCGCTTGCTGCCGCCGCTGCTGCTGTTCGAGGACAACTCGTCTTTCTCTGAGATAGATGAGTTACGGGCCCGCAACTTGGACTCTGGTATAATGTCCGACAAGCTCAAAGAGCTACAGAATAAAAAACATTATTAACGTAAAACGATGCAAAGTTTTATAATCAACCACTCACTTGAGCGACAAATTGGCCGCGCATTGGTTACCCTGATTCTTTTGAATGCCACTGAGCTCGCTGGCAAGCTTGTAAATCCACTCACATATCACGCCCTGATCAATGGTCGAGAACTCCTCAAAATAAGCACCCATCATCTCCACAAAACCTTCCACATCAAAACACGGATCCTCCGATGCGTCCTCGAGTATAGATATGATATAGGAGAGCACAATCTCATCGACTACGCTGAAATCCGCACCCGGTATGTGCGCGCTTACAAACTGCACTAGACTGCGCTTCACCATCTCGTGTTGCTTCTCCAAATTGGTCATGACTGCTCCAAATAAGACGTGCAAGTGCAAGTTGCTGTCAGATATGCACCGAAAGTCCTTTGCCTTTGCAAGGGTGGTAGGTGGTTGCGGTTTTGTAGGCCCTTTTCAGCCCCTTTTTACAATGTATTGCTGAAAAGTGTACTACGAACACATAAATTGTATAGGGACCTGTGACGTCGTTAGAAGCACTAATTTTTGCACAAGTTTAATGCAAATCGTGCCTAAAATTCTGCTTAATTCTGCGTATTTCGTTTTTTTGCGTGCTCCGCCTTTCTTTGCTGCCTCTTCGTCGTCTCTCAAATCAATAATACAACATTGAAGTTCTCTGGCAGCCCGACTCAAAAACAAATTTAACATTTGGCAACGCTGAATAATGGTTTTGTCAGATGGCAGCGCTTGAACGGTTTGCCGGCATTTTACGGGTTTTTTTAAATTACTTGTTTTCTGTCAGATTAGAAAAACAAAATTAATCATCAATTTAATAATTAAAAACTTAGTTGTGCGCTTCCTGTAACAACTTAATTGCCATGTTATGTGTTATGCAACTGATTGAACCGATATATATATAGATACATACATATATTTTATTTATAATACCTAATATCTCATTTTAAATATCTGAATTATAATATATATATAAATAATTACAAAGTAAACGGATTGCCTTTGTGGTATATTTTATTTGCCCATTTCGTATTAATTTTTAATTCATGCTTGAGTAACAGCTTTTAATCTTCAATGAAAACAGTATTAACATTCCAAGGATCTTATAAAATTAAGAATTAAAATTAGTACTGAAACTTTAGAAAATCAGGCAATGTTCCAAAGCAAAATTCTTGCCAATTTTTTGCATGCTAGGTCTTCGATCTTCCACTATTTGTTGAATTCAAGGCATGCATTGTAAAGAATGCACACCCACTTTGACCGAAGAGAGAGCAATGAACGCAAGAATATATTTATATATGTACATATATTTATGTACGTGTATTGTGCGAGTATGTATTGGAGAGTAGAGCGATGATAACAAATTCCGGTTTGAGAGAACCACGGAGACGAAATCGCATGAACAGCAGCTATCACTGCTGTCAAACAATTTTAATTTAGTCTCTACGTGACAAGAAGAGCTGATAGATACTGGACAAGATGTCGGAGAAAAGTGCGCATTAAATCTTTACATTTAAATAAATCTTTCAAAAACATTAATTTCTAAGCATCAAATGAATACATTTGCAATGAAGAACGAATAGCTATTTATTTTCTATATGTTCTTGGTTATATTGCAGCTTGTTGTCATGGACCCGGCTATGCCACACCTCTGGATGCCATGAAAAATGGACCAAGAGAGAAATTACTTTATACGGTGACAATTCAACCCAATCTTGATGAACCACATGGAGACTATCTGTCGACAATAGATGTAGACCCCGAGAGCCCAACTTATTGTCAAGTAAATATTATTTTTTGCAAGTTTCTTGCTTAATCACTCATCCATTATTAAACCACAGATAATACACCGCACCTTTACGAATCGTAAGGGCAATGAGTTGCACCACTCCGGCTGGAATGCCTGCTCCAGTTGCTACTATGTGGACAAAAATGCCAAAAAGGTGCCGAAGCGAGATAAACTTGTGTTGCCCGCACTGAACTCTGACTTTATTTATGTACTCGATGTGGCCCGCGATCCACGTAAGCCCGAAATTATAAAGGTTATCGATGGAGACGTTTTCAAGAGCCACAATGTGACGGCGCCACACACGACGCATTGCCTGGCCAATGGCAACATTATGATATCGGTAATGGGTGATGCGAAAGGCAATGCAAAGGGCGATTTTATATTATTTGACGCTGAGTTCAATTGCCTGGGAACCTGGACAAAGGGAGACCGCAAGGCGCTATGTGGATATGATTTTTGGTATCAGCCATACTTCGATGTCATGGTCTCATCCGAGTGGGGTGCTCCCAACAAATTCCGCCGGTTCGTATGATGGTCCTTCTATATCATTAACAATATCAACTCCATTGTGTTCTCTTGCAGCGGTTGGAAAGATGAAGATCTTGATGATAAAACGCAGTATGGCTTCCGGTTGAATTTTTACAAGTGGTCTACGCAAACTCTGTACCAGACAATTGATCTTGGCATGGATGGTGCCACTCCACTGGAAATACGTTTTTTGCATGATCCAAAGCGTGCTGAAGGATTTGTTGGTTGTTGTCTCAATGCCAGGGTTTACTATTTTAGCAAGAAACCAGACTCGGATGAGTTTGAGGCCAAAAAGGTTATAGACATACCACACAAATTGGTTGACACCGGAAGCGGAGTTGTAAAGAAAATGGGTGGCATGATTTCCGATATTATTATTTCTCTGGATGATAAATACCTTTATGTCAACTGTTGGCTCCATGGTGATCTCAGGCAATATGATATTAGCAATCCACAGGAGCCTAAACTTACTGGCCAACTTTTTTTGGGTGGCTCCATTTGCAGTGATCTTCCCAATGTTACTGTAAAGGAGGACAGGGAATTGCACGTAAGTGCAACCTTAGTGTAAACACATAGGTTTCTAACTTCTATTTTTGTATAATATTAAGGAAAGACCTCCCCCTCGCTACATAAAAGGCCGGCGCCTTGAAGCAGGCCCGCAGATGATGCAGCTTTCACTGGATGGCAAGCGCCTGTATGTATCCTCTTCGCTTTACTCACCATGGGACAAAACGGTAGGCAAAACGGTAGCAGTTTCCCAATCAGTCATGCGTACTTACTATTCCATAATTTGAATCAGTTCTATCCGGAGATGATTTCCAAGGGCGGTCACATTTGCCTGATTGATATTGATGTTGAAAACGGAGGTATGGCTGTAAATGAAGATTTTCTGGTTGACTTTGGTAAGGAACCGTATGGCCCTAGCTTACCACATGAAATGCGTTATCCTGGTGGAGATTGCACCTCAGATATATGGCTAGCCAACGACGCTTAATATGGCACACTTGAGAATTCTATTCAGTACAGTCATAATTCAAAATATCACCTTAAATGTCAACTCTGAAGTTTTGCAACCATAGGAAATTATAAATAGTATAAAACGACACAAACAATAAGCAAATTATAATCAACAATATCAACTTATCAACAATTTAAATTCGCTAATCTAGTAAGTACAGCAATGAAAAGACCGAATCTAGTAAGTTTTACTATTAAATCGATAAGCAGCAATTGTAAATAATTTTCAGCCCACATGGGTCAATTCTTATAATATAATTATAAGATGTTTATTACCAGTACCCAGTTGTAAACAAAGTACTAATATTACATATGTATATGGGGTTGGTGTACTGCAAATAAAATTAAACAAACGAAATGATTGCAATACGCCATAACATTTAAATGTCATAGATGTCGCACCAGTGTTGCCACCTTGTTAAATAAGGGGATTGAGGCTTAGAGCACATTGGCACCAAGTACTTTCAATGAAAGCAAGTAAATCTGTCTTTAATGTTGATAGGAAAAGCAAAAATTGTGAAATTACCGCTTTAGGAAACCGGCTACAATTAAAAAAAAAAAATCGATGATAACATATGCATAAAATCTTATCAGAGATATAATTGCTGATGGCGTTTGCCTCGACAAAGTAATTCTTTGCAGTAACGCCTATCAATGCGATTTATAATAAACGTGCCTTTTAACATTTTGCGTAAGTGTTGAAACGCAAAAAAAAACAACGCGGATATTATTAGGAAATAAATGTGCGTATGTATCTAATACAAAGGAAATTCTAACATGTATGTGTGTAAGATGTAACACAATTACGTCGTATAAGTATAATTAAATAAACATGTATGTACAAATAGGATGCCGTCGCATTGTGTTACAGTTAATAGGTAACTACAGCCATATTTCAATTGCAGATAAAAATGCATTTGGATGCTTTTAAATATGATCATACAGGCAAATATACATACATTCATATGTATGCATGCACATATGTACATATGTATGTATAAATGTACTTTGAAATATGCATGACAACTATTTTATATACTGTGTCTTTGAAATTATTTACCAACTTGCTTGTAGTCGTTTGGTCAGCTGTTTGCTAAAGCCAAAATAAACAATCCCCGATAACATTGTATCAATGTCGCTTCCCGCTTTTTTGACTAAATTCGGCGGGCAAACTGTTTTCCGTGCTGATGGTGGTAGTTTACTTGGTATTGGGAGATCACAGTGTGCAGTTCAAGTTGTACAGTTTCGTGGCCTGGCGCATTACCGAACAGCTTTTTTGACCGCAACTATAGTGACGTGTTATCTGTTTATAATTTCATAATCTTTATAAATGTTTAACGAAACAGATCAGGGACTAGCAGCCATACGAGCCAAGGCGAAAACTTGCGTCGCGATGGGACGCAAATATGCGCAGGACACGCAACCATTTACGGTGCTGATCGAAGGCAACATAGGCAGCGGCAAAACCACGTTCCTTAATCACTTTGAAAAATATAAAAACGACATCTGCCTGCTGACAGAGCCGGTGGAGAAGTGGCGTAATGTGAAAGGCGTCAATCTACTGGAGCTAATGTATAAAGATCCCAAAAAGTGGGCCATGCCCTTTCAATCTTATGTGACGCTGACCATGTTGCAGTCGCATACGCAGAAAACAGACAAGAAGATGAAAATTATGGAACGTTCCATCTTTAGTGCAAGGTAGGTGGACTTTAAGGTTCGGATTGCAAACAGATTTTAAAACTTCCATTGACTTTTGCATCAGGTACTGCTTTGTGGAGAACATGCATCGCAACGGATCACTGGAGCAGGGCATGTACAACACATTACAGGAATGGTATAAATTCATAGAGGAATCCATACATGTGCAAGCCGATCTCATAATTTATCTGCGAACGTCGCCGGAGGTCGTTTATGAGCGTATGCGTGCGCGCGCGCGTTCTGAAGAGAGCTGCGTACCCCTAAAGTACCTGCAGGAATTGCATGAGCTACACGAGGATTGGCTCATACACAAACTTCGACCAGAGCATGCCAAAGTAAGTGGTTTAGATTTGTTGTCTATGCTGCATATATAATGCTGGTGATTTCTGTTTTGGCAGGTCTTGGTACTGGATGCAGACCTGGACCTGGAGAAAATTGGCAAAGAGTACCAGCGCTCCGAATCAAGCATATTCGCCATTTCAAGCACGAGGCAACCTACAGCAGTGATGGTGTCACCCAGCAAACGGCAATGCATGTCTAGTTAATGAGTCGATAGACATGCAAATAATACATCACTACAATTAGACGGAATTCATAAATTTAGATATTTAGATAAATAATAACATTAGTTAAGGACAAAGTGTGGAGTCGCGACTTTAAACGGCTTGGCAATTCACTAAAACATGCTGGCAAAACTAATTACTATATAAGGACCTGTTTATTTAGTGTTGCATTTTAACAATTCCTATGTGAGCATAATTTGGCATTTTAGTTTTCGATTTGTATTCCTATAATCAAAATTATACCAACATTATTATTATTGTAAAATAATTAAATTGCATTTGACGTTTTGTTCATATTAAATAATGTATTTTAAAGCGAATAAAAGTGAAAAATTGTTTAACGATTCATTGAATTGTCAACCGAATAATTGCAGAAGGTTCACACTACGAATGCAAAGATGAAATAGATAATTATAGGAATTTTATGAATAAGAATGTAATAAATGAATTTTCGTACTACTAGCTCTGGCCGACTACATGTAACACACAGATGGAAGCGTTGTAGATCGCACAAGGCACGTAAATACATTCTTAACCAGTATGGGAAGCTCGTCTCTAACATTCCATTCTTGATTTATTTTATCTAATGCACATCCGATTTGATCTCCTTTTTTAAAGGTGTACTCCGATTTTACATGATTTCCATATTTATACCCTGTTTTCTCATCGCGTCCTAATATAGCATGCAAACGACTTGCAACCTCCCAAAATATATAAACAATAATTTACCAATAGAGCTATGTATGCATACAAACCAGAAAAACTATGCGTACAAGATTAATAATTACCTTGACGATCTAGAAATAGATGATATAGTGAAGATATCACCACGGTTCTTTTTGTTATTAATATTACACTTTGTTTAGTGCGTTTTTTATTCTTCTAAGTCATAAACTAACTTTAATAAAACTATGTAAAAATGGGCGGGTTCTCCATAAGAAAAAGTATGCGTACAAAAAACTAGGAAATATTTGTATATATGCACATATAATCAAAATAGGTTCAAGTTAAACAATTTCATTTATTGGTATGAAATCGATCCAGTGGTAATTTTTTCATATCGCTAAACATGATATACTTAATCATACGGCTTATTTAGTTAGTTATTTGTGTTATTTTGGGCCATTCATAATTGGTTGACGTACACCTGGTATGGTGCCTAGCGGTGGTGGCGGCCCCATCATAGCCATAGGATTGAGAATCGGCGGCGGCCGCATGCCTGGACCCATCATCGGATGATTCATCATGGGCGGCATATACGGTGGTATGGCCATGCCAGGACGAGGTGGCGGTGCCGAGGTCAAGTTCGGTGGTGGAATGGAAACACCAGCCGGCTTGTTTACCGGCGGTCCACTGGCAAACGGATTGTTTGTGATCTTCCCCGCCTTAAACGCAGCTGTGGTGGCATCGATCAGATGCTGTGCCTGTTCCTCCATCCACTTCTGGTAGTAGAATTTCACATTGTCGCGGTGCTTTCGCCCGGTGCAATGTGTTTTGCGCACCGACGGAGAATCGTGCGTCAGATACGTGTCGCAATAGTCACAGTAGTACTTCGGCATGCTGCTGAGACAGTTGCACGACAATATTTTCTATAATTCAGACAATATGCTCGTATTTTTAATGTTTTCCTAAATATGTTGACTCTTTAGTGTTTTGCTTGATAGCTCTGAAGTGCTGTAAAACGGCAAACAAAAAATAAAGCAACTCTGAAAAGTCACCCTTGCTCAGCGAGGTGAATATGAATAAGAAAGGTGAAATTTAGTAAATTGAATTCAAATGGATTTTTGTTTTGTTGATTATTATTGCTTGCATATAAGTACAAATACATATACATACATCTATACTAATATTATAAAGAGGAAATATTTGATTGTTATTTGTATGTTTGTTTGTTTGAACTGAAAAGGCTCCGAATCTACTGGACTGATTTAATGGATTCTTTCACTGTTGGGAAGCTACACTATCGACGGTGAACATGGGCTATATTATATTTGAAAAAAAGAATGGAATCCTTACTAAAACGCCAATCATGTAACCAAAGGTGTAAACAAATTCCGTTAAAAAAATGCTGAATAGCAAGCTGTTAGTTCATAATCATGCTCGAAACATTGTCACTTTCAATATTAAGGCAATATTATTCAAAAGTCCCCAGCAAAATAAAAGATTACAAATCGATCGACACCGTGATTAATATTGAAGACATTTAAGTTCACTAAACTCTTCTGGACAGCCGTCACATAACTTGACGGTAAAATTCGGAATTGCAATCATGCTTTTGAGAAATTAAAGCCTTCCAAGCATGTGCAATGGAACGAGGCTGCTTATTAAGGAATTGCAGCACAATTTAAGTGTAGCAACTATTATCAACGGCCCAGCAACTGGTCATCTAGCTCATATAACGAGGATACCGATGATCCCATTTGATCATTTATATGGCTTCAATTTCCGGTAGTCCCAAGGCCAAGCCTTCGAAGGGAAGTAGGGATCGACACACGAAAGCAATGTTTTATGGTATGTTGACCTATCACGGCTCGGAGCTCCTGAAAATCAATTGATTTTGCTACCACAAAATAAAACATCAAATATCTTTTACAGAGAACATCTGACCTGATGAAGAATAACCAAAAAATTTAAAAACGAACAAAAAATCATTTAAATAATAATATCCAAAATAAATTTCAATCCTTCTTAGTGACTCATACGAAAATTTTTTGTAAAAATACCCGTGCGAAGAAGGGGCAGGACGCTAGTATAATATATATTAACAATAATGATGAGTAAAAATCACTTTGAAGCAGTTGTAGACGAAAAGAGCTTTGTTATAAAAAATGTATAAAACGGTTATTACTCTTATGGGTGATTCACCAGTAATAAGTCTCTCTTTTAAAATAAATATAAGTACAATGTAACATTCTGTTAGATACGGGCAGTTTGTAACTGCGCTTTTTCGGACTGACAAGTGTGGTCGGTTAAAATTGTGTAATGTGTAAATTAAATATAAAACGCATTTTAGTTCTGCAGTGCTTTGTTTAAATTATGAATCGATATCTTATTGACACGTAGATCAACAAATGTCAACAATTGTGCATTCAATAAACTTTTAAACAAATACATTAATAATTTATAATTTATTTCCCCACTTCTCCTTTTGTTCGCTTTGAAGGGCATTGAAGGAGATGACAATATAAAACAAGTAAAAAAGCTTAAGTCGGGTGTCCCGACTTTGAAATACTCTGTACATATGTTTACAATAATTATAGAAATTGAGCAGCGCTGCAGCAGCAAATATATTTAGGGCTATAACTTCTTGTTAAATCGGTCTATCATAATGAAACTTGGCGTACGGACACATAATTACTAACTGGGGGTATTTCCCAAATTTGAGTTCGAAATTCCAAGAATTACGGGAGTAAGAGAAAATGGCGATTTGCATGGGAGAGGGGGGAGGGAGGGAAATTCCAAAATTTTCTGCGTATTCACAGGTCTTATAGTCTTCGAGATATAGGCGATTATACGAATGGAAAATCGGGAAATCCCCCATAGGGTGGAAGTGGGGGGGGGGGGAATCAAAAAAATAAAACAAACTTGCACAGCGTACACACATAATAATGTTTGATGTCTCTAGCTCTTATAGTCTCTGAGATCCAGGTGTTCATACGGACAGACGGACAGACAGGCAGACACACAGGGCTAGATCGACTCGTCTCGTCATGCTGATCAAGAATATATATACTTTGTGGGGTCTGCCACACCTCCTTCCGCCTGTTACATTTTCAGCTCCCGCAAACCTAATATACTCTTGTACATTTTATGTACAGAGTATAATGAACTAAGAGAGAAACTCGGTTCTAGCCTCTTAAACTTTTGTTTTTGTAACGCTTTGGTTTGTGCATAAGGTACAATCAACTCTTGGTTTGTGTATTTGCTGCATGTTGGATCTACACTAGAGATGAGCGTTTAATAAAAATGTCTCATTCAAACTCAGGAAACAAATTCAAAACATTTTGTTATTTTTAACCTATCACGATTGGGTTATAATACAGAACAGGAAGTAAAACTGTCATTATTGTAGTTGATCTTGAAACGGAAATAGACCGTGTCCCAATATAAATAAATGTACATTTTTTAGGCAGATGTTTAGTTTAGTATTTAAATTATAGACATTCATTTTATATGTCTAGTAATTTATTATTCATGTAAATTTATGACCATTTTTGTAAATATATTATATTTCCTTTCATTATTGTTATCAATTGAATTGAAACAAGTTATATTTTCTCGGAATATCTAATAGAATATCAATGTTACGTCCTTCAAAATCTTTCTTTCTTCCTTTTGAATCATTTTCAATCACATGTGACCCTAAATTTTGGCATCTCGTTATGATTGTTCATCAGTTCAAACAGAATAAAATTACTCTGTCAGTTCACGTAGATTTCTCTTCGGAACCAACCTCTAGTAATGCCCCAAATATCTATGCAGTTTCACGATCTTAAAGGATTCTTCAAATATTTGTTAAAAAGAAGGGACAGGCTTATGAAAGCAAATGCATTATATCTTTGTTTCGTGACATTTTGTCCATTGAATTCTAAATTTTTCAGACAACATGGTGCGTATTTGAAATTGTAGCTTTTATTGTGCAGCAAAAACAGTTCCTAATGCCACTCATTTGCAGGATCTGCCATCTTTGGAAAATGTATCTGATGCAAACCTTAGCGGTCTAAAGGTACCCTTGATGGATCTGCCATCTTTGGAAAATGTATCTGATGCAGACCTTAGCGGTATAAAGGTACCCTTAATGGATCATCAAAAAACTGCTCTCGCTTGGATGAAACGCCGTGAAGAGCAAAAGCCCCATGGCGGTATCTTAGCCGACGATATGGGCCTGGGAAAAACTATCTCGGCGATCTCATTAGTGTTGGCCAGCAAGAATAGAAACACGAATAGTAAGTACTGGAACTTTTTGATCTTAAACGAACTGTTCCGATAATCATTGGACTTAATATTTTTCTGAAGCCTTCAACGGTGTTACTTTGGTGATCTGCCCAGCCAGTCTGCTGCGTCAATGGGAGTGTGAGGTTAAATCGAAGGTTTCACACGAAAAGCTCAACATTTTCGTACATCATGGAAGAAATCGTGGGCGGCCTGAAGTTCTATGTACCTTCGATATTGTGATCACCACCTACGGTATTGCGATGCGAGAGTACAAGCACAGTGGCAATCTTTTCGGTGTTAAGTGGAAGCGCATTATACTGGATGAGGCACATCTTGTGCGGAATTCCAAAACGATCACATGCGAGGCTGTGTGCGAGCTAAGGAGCAACTATCGTTGGGCATTAACCGGCACGCCTATTCAAAACGAAAAGCTAGACTTGTATGCTTTGATCAAATTTCTGCATTATACTCCCTACGGTAATTTGGCCGAATGGAAAAAACGTATCGAAAATAACAAAACAGATGGTCAGCAGAAATTAAAAAGGCTACTAGAGCCACTAATGCTGCGACGGACTAAAGACCAACTGAAGGACATTGATAAAAACCGTGTTCCCAACAAGTTTTACAAACCGATTATGTTTGAATTAGATGCCGAGGAGGAGGAGGTGTACGACAAGATAGACCGTTTCAAAAAATACATACTAAATGAGGAGATTAATATAGATGGCGAATACTACAAAATGCACGAGAAGTTCAAGGACATGGAAAAAGGCAATGCAAAACATGTTCTGTTATTACGCTTGCAACAGATTTGCTGTCTTCCGGGATTGATTGTTGAAGTAAGTACAAGTAAGACGAGAATATCTCTCTCGAAATATCTCGACATATCCAGGTCTCTATCCAGTTGTCGAAATTATGACAATCGCTTCAGAGTTTAGTTCTTTGACTGACTTCAAAATTAAATTCATTACAGATGCTAGATGAGTCTGATGACGAAGAAGAGAATACGGGATCTGTTGTGCCTTGCATTGAGAATAATCTAGGTTCGTAACGACAAATCAACATTCTATCGCGGAATAATCCAGTATTTAATCTAGAACGTCAAAGTTCAAAAATGCTGAAGTTAATGAAAACACTAGCACCGATTATGAACAAAAGCAGAGATAAGGTCATTATAGTGTCGAAATGGAAATCGGCTTTAAATATTTTAAGTAATCATTTGCAGAAAGCCAAGTGGCCGACTTTGTCACTAAACGGAAGCACTAAATTGAAGGATCGTCGGAGTATTGTGAACAAGTTCAACGACCCGGAAAATCCGAATCGCATCCTTCTCCTCTCGCTTAAAGCTGGAGGGTTGGGTCTTAATCTAGTGGGCGCCAGTCATATGCTATTTTTCGATATTCATTGGAATCCACAGCTCGACCTACAGGCAGAGGGTCGTATTTACCGCATTGGTCAAAAAAAAGACGTGATCATCCACAAGTTCATGTGCAGCAACACCATTGAGGAAAGTATCTTCAAGGTACAGAAGAGGAAACTCGAAATAGCCGAGGGAGTACTCACTGTTTCCAATGATATTGATACTATTGAAGATATTCTCTTGTGAAAGTCTACCATTAACGCCACTTGGGGGGCGTGCAATACTAGTTTTTACGAATTGTTGTAAATAAAAATATGTGTTTATATAAATGCAAATACAACTAGTATTAATCAACAGTATTTTGATTATTCTTAGTAGGTATTATATGGTGGTTGCCTTAGTTGTATTTCCTAGTGTATATATAAATCTTTTTTTAACATTTAAATTCGACTCTAACGAAATATTAACGTTTTGGTGAATTGGGTGGGTTTCAAAGTGATTCGTGCTGCCAGCTTGTTGATGTCAGTGATATCGGTGCGGTACAGACAATCGTTATCGTAGCTGATATCGGTAGCGAACATCGATGGTGTTGTGCCCGCCACTAGCCGGAGTTTACTTTGGGCCGGCGTTCGAGTATGATGTGTGGCGCGGATGTTCGTCGTATTTACTTGTTGTTGTTGTTAACGTTCAGAGTGTATGAATGAATAGCGAGCACGAACACGCGTAACGGCAATAAAAATAGTGGCAAAGAAACAGAGAAGAGCAATAAAAGTGTAATTATTAAGAAATCGTGTTTCACGTGCAAATGCTCAAGGGCAACCAAAAAGGCGCCACTTTGGGTGTAAAGTGCATAAACCAAACCAGTTGAGAGCGCATAACTGCCGCCCAAAACGCCGGCTTGCTTGGCTTCGGTTTCGGCTTACATTCAATTAAGCCAAGTCTCGCGTATTAAGCTGGCCAACTAGTTTGTTAGCGCATGTGTGTGTGCGTGTGTCCCTGTGTGCGTGAAGCAAATAAACGTCCGAATTCAAGAAGAGCACAGGAATTTATGTTCATGCAGCAGCCACAAAAAAATAAAAATAAATAAAATTTTAAAAAAAGGAAGAAAATCAAATACCAACAGACAACAATAGGCGAAGGAAGTAGCGAGCGAGGATTCATGCCCAGAAGTCGTTTGACCAGTTTTATTTTTTATTCTGCCTCTACCTTCGTCGCCGTGTGTTTGTGTGTGTGTGAGCGACGGAGAGGGATTGTTTTTTATGGTTTTCTTTACCAAGCCGCTTAAATGATCAATATAGCAACTAGTGCCTGATCGATCGATCGCATCGCATCGCATCGAGTGTGAAGTGAAATAAACCAGACCGACGCGACTAACCCAAATGAGCAGCTAACAGAGCGCCCAACCATGCCCTTCGTACAGCGTGTCGTGCAGCCCGTGAATGTGGCCCAGGCAACGGCCGCCAGTTCCGGGCATGCCGCCACTCGCTTCCAATGCATACCGGGCAAATGCAAAAACAACAACTGCATCAACAACAAGCAATCGCCCGATGAGGTGGACGATGGAACTGCCACAGCAACATCGCCAACAACTCTCACCAAGGCTCTGGTCCACAGCTCCTCAGCACTGACGAATGGTGATCAACATGAGGAGCTGCAGGTGCCACGCCCACCCCCCGCTCTGCCCATGAAGAAGCTGAAGCAGCATGTGGAATTCTTATCCACATCGCCCACACATCAACGCGTCTCCCAATCTCTGCCCAACTCAAGGCACACCAGCCAACAGCGTCAGCCGCGTAACGCCAGCGCTCCCCAATCACCCACAGCCGGCAACTCCGGACGTGTAATCTCCGGCTATGAGTTCGACTCGATTAGCAACATTACGCTGAGCAATGCCCTGCGACAATTGGCCTCGCTGGTGCTCATCGCCAGCGACATCTTCGACGATCTGCAGCGGGACTTGCAGGCGGTGGGGGAGCGGGCGGGGCGAGTACAGCGCAAGATTGTGGCCGTGGAGCGGCGTGTTTGTGCCTACGATCCGAAAATGGTCACAGTTCGTAAGTATCTGAACCGTCAAATCTATTTAAAATAACCCCAAGTTTAGCGTTTGTTCCAAAATTTGCAAAATTTTCTTGATTTATTGTTATTGTTAAAAATAAAGAAATTAATCAAATGAAACTTAGAATATTTATCTTAGGGCCTTGGAAAATACAAACCACAGAAACAATATTGAAAATGCACTTCGTAAATAATTTTGAATTCGTTTTCTACGATTTTTTAAAAAAGCTGGAATTAAGTTATAAAAATTCACTCAATCAGAACTTTAGCTTTTCGCCAACATTGTAGCTTACATCAAAAAACGTTTTCTTACAATTTATGTAAAGAGAAAACACTATTTTTTTTTTAATAATAAAAAAATTAATTATATTTTGACCATCTTACCAAATAAAGTAAATTATCATAAACAAAGAAGTAGAAGAACGAAATATCAATTATCTTTGTCCTACTTGAATGATTCAATTTTGTTTTCCAATATTATGCCATTTATTGAATCCTTTCCAAAGTCACTTCCTGATTTATCCAACCTTCAAGTAGCCCGTAGCTCTTAGTCCATTGAGCAATCAAGTTGTGCGCTCTTACCTTTTGTCATCTCGTTGGCAATTGTTGTTGTGCTGCTATTATAATTCCTACTTATTCACATTTGTATGCGTGCGTTTGTCTTCTTTATGGATATGGTTGTGTGTTCTGAGGAGTGGGGGAGCAGAGGCTTTGGGTGGGTGGACGACGTGCTGAAATCTTATCGCTTCGTCTCTACGCAGGCAGACGAACAAAAGAAGCACAACTGAATGAAAATTAAATTTGCATGCATAGTAGCAGTAACAGAAAAAACTGCGACGAGTAGCGGTGGTATGGGGTGAGGTGGGAGGGGTGCAGAAATGTAGCGCGCATTTGCCTTTTGAAAATTAACACCTTGTTTACTTTGCCTTTGCCGACGGCTCCTCTTTGTGGCGAGCAGCTCCTGGTATTTGTTTGCTCCATTGCTTCATTGCGGATGGTGCGGGGGCGCAACGTTAATTGCAACAAAAGATTGTGGCGCATGTTCACACAATTAACTTACAGTCGTTCGCCACGGAGCTTCTTGTTGTTGCTGTTGTTGTGGCCAACAGTGTCTACAATTACAGATAAGCGTCTAATGTTTTAGCCCAGTATTTTCACGACCTTGTGTTAAATTGTGACCATTTAAGCTTTAGCATTCTTGCTAGCTTTGATTTGTGGCTTCTTCGTTTCTTCGTACGCGCAACAAGTTACAGTGACTCCCAAACTGTGCACTCTGCTACTGCCGCACTACAACTACTCCGTCTTCTTCTTCTTTAACGGTTGCGTTATTTGAGCTTTGCGCTGACACGCCCTGGAAAATGCTTAATACAGCAAAATTAATCCGTTTTTCGTTTTAAATTTGTTGTTGCAATAGCAGTCGCAGTTGTTGTTGCTGTTATTCTTGATTTTCAATAATTATACAAGAATGAGCACAAGCAGTCGGCAAAGTCAGGCGTCAGTTTGGCGGCAGACTGCAGTTCTCTGTTTGTTGTTGCTGTTGTTCGTGCTTTTTGCGCCTTTTTTTTTTTTGGCTGCCTGCTGTTCGTGCTCTTTGTTGCTATTGTTGCAATTTGTAAACAAATATGCTGAGTGGCGGCAATTGCAGTGGCTTCCAAATGTCGTCTACGACTCGCTCAAGTGTGAAGTAGCGAAGTCAGTCTGCAATTTGCAACACTATTATTTTTCTGGCCCTCTCTCTCTCTCTCTCTCTGTCAATTGCTCTCAGGCTGCAGTCGTCAGCTGCTGCAGCTGCTTTTTAAGTAAACACGCAAGGGAGCAGCGCGTTAATTGCTCAGGTATTCAAACGGAGAACAAGAGACCCAAATAATTAACATCACACACCATTCACATACATACATACATATGTATGTATGTATAATAATGTTTCTTCTGTGAGTTATTAATTTCGCAATTGGCAGTTGCAATTGCTGTGACATGCCTGCCTATGCCTTCTTCCCTCTCACCTGTATTGTAAAACTCGTATGCCATAATGTGTGCTCACGAGCCGCCGCAACACGGGAGCTACTCGTACATTGGAAATGCCATTACAGCGCGCCATTTGCGGCAAATGTTAACTACATGCTATATGTGCCTACATATATCTAAATACTTACATACAAGTATACCCTCAGGCCACTGTGCAGCGATGCGTGCAACCCAACGTCAAATACTCTGGACGCCGCAAAGCTTAAAAACGGGGTAATTTTTTTAAGCAACTGCTGTTACCGTTGGCTGCATTTTCAGCATGCAGAGCGGGCAAGCGGGCAGGCAGTCAGGCGGGCAGTTCTTAGTTCCCTGCTTAGCTCTATCAATCAGCCATATTGGCCATTTGTGGCTAAGGTGCTCGCAACATGTTGCCAGCGCGACGTGACTAGACTCAGCAACATGCTCGTCGGTCGCCCTGTCTAATGTCCAATCTGTCGGTTTGCCTATCTATCAGCAACTGCAACGCTTAGTAAGCCTGCTGCACACACACACATATGTATGTAAGTGTTTTTAATGTTTTTAATGCAGCTTGAATTACTTCAGGCAACGGCAACACAGCGGGCGCACTTTGAACACCACCGCCAACTTTACGAGAATCGCTCTTGTCCAGCAGCACTTGACCAAAGGGCCCATTACATACCATTGAGTTTCCAAAGGCAATTGAAATATAAAACATACATATGGGGAAAAGGCCAGTTAGTCACACCTAAGCCTGCTTTCAGTAAATACTTGTACATATGTTTTTTCGCATTGTCTTTCATTTAACAATGAAACGACTAAAAAAACATTCGATACAATTTTTTACAACGCTAGATATTGTTTTTATTTTGTAAACATACTCGTTTGTGTGTTGGTTATGATTTAGAGGAATAGCAAGAACTACATTAATAGATATATATGTGTGTATAGCCCGACATATGCAACATAAGTTAGTGGTGCTCGCGATGATAAATAGCAAGAAGAGTAATATTCGTATAACATATTAGTTATTTATTGCACAAAAGCTGGTACTCACTCTTATCTTCCAAACTTTAAATAATACTAAAAACTTTCATCAGCTTACAAAGCCAGCAATATAATCAAAAAAATTTTAATGTCAATCTTCCTTTAAAATTTAAATTATGAAATCAATCTTATCAAATCATCGTTTGTTTATTAAATTAGAAAATATATAATAAATATAATAAATATATAATTTTATATATTTTATACTACTCGTGATGACTATCATAACTAATTTTTGCATTATTTGCTTCACAATATTCCAAACTCGTAACTAAATCTGATTACTATATCATATTTGACCATTTTCTACAGTACTTATCACCATATATATAGTAGTATTATCTATAAGACACTGTAGGAGAGAGAGGGGAGGGTACAGAATATATGTATAACTGTCTAACTGGCCCGAAATGTTTTGCCAGCTTCGGCAATCATATTACCTCGTTTAAAATATTTATTATGTTCATTTTAATTCTGCAGATTACTTCTGAGTAAAACAGTTTGTTAGTCAGAGTAACTCAAAAATACATGCATAATATGTACGGCTGCCTCTTTACAGGAAATTAAAGTTTTTTCAAATTTTTATTTGTAATTACAGTCGCGGTGGGCATAAAAGCATAAATAACGTCAGCAAGCCAAAGTTATGGCCCGCATACGAGTACAAACCTGTTCCCACCTGCAACATGCCTCATGCGTATACACAAATATGCATACGTGTATATTTATGTGTGTGTGTGTGTGTGTGTGTTTGCGTATATGTGTGGCCACAAAACCAAACAAACAAAACAACGAAAATAAACCTTCTGCGCTCGAAATGCTACAAGGTACTATCGTACAAGGGAACCAACGAAAGAGCCAAACAATTTCAACTAAAACCAAAGAGAAAGATACATACAGACCTACATACATACATACATAACACAAGTACAGATGCAGTGCGTTGCTGTTTCTCTGCTTGTTTTTTGTTTTAAACATCAACGCATTATTTTTCAAGTGCGCTTTTCATTTTTTTGTTTTTGCTGCTTGCTGCACTGATGAGCATTTGATTGTTGCAGCCAAACTTTGTTACAGACAACAAAGCCATTGGATTGGTGCTGATGGGGGCAGGGTGGGGCAGGATGGGGAGGGAAGCGGTGGGTTTAGCGGGCACTTCACTTTTCTGGTTGAAATTCTTGCATTTTTTGTTTATTTTTCCAGCATTTTTCTCACTTGAAGCGAAAAACCGAAATGTAAACCAACAAATACGGCCAGTCAGGCAGTCAGCTACAAATAAATAGATAGACGTTGTCAGTTTGCCAGAGTGAATGTGCATGGGTGTGTGCGCATGTGTGTGTGTGCATGTGTGTGTGTGTGCATGTGTGTGTGTATAAACAAGTAAGTCAAGCCAACGACGTTCAGCCATCGTCAGGTTGCATAAGGCCCAGCCCGGCCGGCTTTATAGCTTGAAACGCCAGCCTCTGCACTTAGGAAAATCTTCACTAACAACTTTTAGAAACAATATGTAACTTATTATACTTTTATACTTTCCTTATAAGAAAATATTTACAACTCTTTGAAAATAACAATAAAGTAGTTTTGACTTTAAAAATAAACTGATTAAAAAAATAAAGTTACATTAACTAACTATTTATAAGCAAATACATAAACTAAATTAACTTTGGTTAATTTCCGAAAAGTGTCAATAAAAGCCTTTAAAAGTATAAACACAGCTTTAAAATTAATGCAACTGTTCGTTTTCTATGTATTTTTCTTAAATACCCGGATTTTTCCCTATTATTTTGCACATGATTGGTATTTACAAGTATATCAAATGTTATAATTATTTTACTATTTTTACACAATTTATTCTATTTTCTGTTTCAATTTTGTCAATAAATAAATGAAAATGTAGATTATAATTCCATGAACTCGTTGGCTTTCGTTCTTCGACAAAAACATATGAATGAAGAATGTTCTTATCTCTTTCCAA